TGTTTTCAAACTTCTACTGGATATTCACCATCAATAAACCATACAGCTGGTAGGTGCAGTTCAGCATCAGTTTGAACTTGCTTATCAGCCACTTTTAAAAAGCTTTTGCTAACGTCCCTCTGTCAGGAATGTCAGGCATCATTGCAAAACCAGTTTTCAAGAACTCAAAAACTGTTTCTGTGAGCATGTGAACAAAGGAGGTATACAAAGTCCCTTCTGTCTTAGTAGAATATTATTTGAATTATATTTTTCTTGTTAATCCTCTATGAGACAAAGAATAAAGTACAAAAAGATATTGCAGACTATCTTAGTTTTGCAGCAGATCAAACTCTAGAAAATGGTTCATGGAAGCTGACAACCCTTTGCCACAAGCAAGTCTTACAAATTCTGATCATCCAGTATTCTCCACTGATGCTTCAGATGGGATAAATCAGAATAGATTCCTTACTTTAGCGGATCTACAAGCATTCATGTCACCAGAAAACCTTACTCTCTACTTTCACCTGAGTTTATTAATAACAGAGTGACTTCAACCACAACTTGGTTGTTTGGGGTGTTTTTTGTTTGTTCATTTGTTTTGATTTGATTTTTTAAATGAGCTATGATCTTCAGGTTCCTGGTAACTCACAAATGCAGCAGGTAACTGAAAAAAGCGTTAATGTATTTGTTCTCTGTCTTTTCTCTGCTATTTTGTTTTCTTCCTTTTTTTTTCTTAATTTCCATGTCAAATTATCCATCTGACCCTACTCTCTACTCAAAGCTTTTCACTGGAATGCGTTTAAATATTACTGGCTACGGAAAAATCAGAAATTGACTCCATTCACTGGAGGCTGGCCTTACAGAAATACTGACAAAATAATTCACATATAAAAACACAACCTTTTCTAATCCAAATTAGAAAAAATTGCAACATTATCATCTTGGTGAGTATTTACACTCGTTTTACAGAAAAGGAAAGTGATGCAGAGAAAGGATGAGCAACTAGAGCCTTAGTCCATTAATGTAGGTTCAAGCTGGCTGTCAGGCCACCATCTGCCTGAAGTAAGCCATCCCCTTCCTGAACCTTTAGATATCAGTAGCCAAACTGCTGTCAGTAGGTTGTTATTCCACTCATCATTGCAGATATTCTACAAAACTATTTTGTCTCTACTCACCAGGAACATTCAGCCACTGTTTATAACAAGTTTAAGACTCAAAACAAAGGCCTAAAAGCTAGAAAAAGAGACTAAGTAATTCACTGCACACACTGTTTCAATTTTGCTCTACTTACAGTAACTTCTCAGGAAAAAAATAAATAAAAATCCTCAATCTGTTTGTTGTTTCAGTTCATCTTAGGGTGACATAAACAGCTTTCAGTTCTTTATATTCTGCACAAGCCTCCAGAAATATTCACTGTTTACTAGAGCTCAGTGGTGTTAAATCAAGTATGACTATCACCCTTTAAGGCCTAAATCATGGAGCAATACTCATACCAACAACACATTTTGACAGTGTTGACACCTTCTTACATGGAATCAGTTTAGCCACACATAAACCTGTAGAAAAGGGCATTAAAACTTAGTAGAAATCCTAGCAACCACTTTCTAGTTTCAAAAGTTGGCATTTTCATTCACTGTATCCAGCCTCTTGATTAACTCACTGTCAAAATTTACAGCGCATCTCACAAAAGTTAAACAGCTGGATGGAGAACTGGCTTAAATCACTTTCTGTCATCATTTTGGCTGTGTAATTGTAAATGGATAGGAAATTATACTAACTCCAAAGTGGTTACAATTCTGAAATAAACTCAGCAACTGGTGAGAGTCAAGAACAGCTTATTAGTTCATTTGATCACCTAAAAACTTTCTCAGAATAGAATTCAAATATGATCAAAACTTTGCATGATATTTCTCTTCTTATACCGGATTTTAAGAGCAGAATCATCCAATATTGTAGAACCAAGAGCTGTGTTCAAGAAAATAGAAAAAGAAAAACCAGCAATGTGCACCTGGGGAGTAGATGAAAGGAACCTCTGCTTCTGTTTACTTGATCAACTCCCTCTTGTTTAGTATTCATGACAAGTGAGAAACAACTCCTCACCATCCCTTTATAAAAAGCAAAATGCTGAAGATTTGAGGAAATGTGAGAGTTGATCAAACCTCTCTGCCTCACGCGGGAAGCTTTGACTTTTCTGTACAACCCAAACAGGTCCTTAATGCAGTGCTCTCCGGGGAGGCAAGACTCGGAGCCTCACCAAGCCCCGCAGCCCTACTCAAGGCGGAAGCTGCCCAGCAGGGCGGCCGGACCCGGCGGCGCGGAGGCTGCCGGAGCTGTCCCTTCAGCACCACGTCCCGCGGCGAAAGCAGACCGCGGCTTGGTGTCAGCGAATAGCGAGGATCGCCTTTGATTTAATTAAAGCTACGCAGTTTAAACCAACACGGTAAAGAGGTGATCGCATACGTTGCTAGCACGGCGATATAAGGAACATAATTAAGCTAGACATAAATTAGTCTGCTATTATATGCATATTGGTAGACTATGTGGCTCCATTGATTCCTCTTGCACTTCTCAGAAGAGAAGTTTGTAGGGACAGATTTATTACTCTGGAATACGCAATGATTGTTGTTACTCACTCTGCTTCAACAGTCAGTCTGAGATGGTTATTTAGGGGCACTTTACGTGAGTACTTACTGACTACAGCACATTCTCTAATGCATACGCTGCATGTGCTTCTTGAAGGTTTCAGAGGGAGAAGGAAATGTATATGAGAGCATACACACAGACTAAAAATAGGAGCCATCACAAAAAATTAAGATGAACATCTCAGATAACTGTCCAATGCAGGAAACACAGACAAGAAGTATTTTCTTATTTTCCTGATAACCGTAATATTGTTGTACTCTCCCCCTGTGAAACAAATTCTTTTAGATTAAAATTAAAAAATAAAGAGAAATCTTGCATGCTAATTTACACAGACAACCGACAGATCTCACAACATTCCAAAACTACTTCAGTATGAAGAGATACACAAAATAGAAAAACACTTGGCAAAAAGAAGATAGTGACTATTAATAAACTTTCCAAAGACAGAACACATATCCTCCTGGAGCAGAGCTTCCCAAATGAACAATCGTCAAACAATGTCTGTCTTTTTCCACCATTCTTTATTTTCACCCTCCCTCACAGTGGATCCCCGTTGCTATACACATGTAAAACTTAAACAATTCTGACATCCCAAAGTGCCTCTGCCTGCAGAAATGTACACTATCCATTGCACAATGACGTGCTCTGAGCTTTCTAAATGAATCTCACCTCTTTGCACGAGAGAATGTCATGGGCTTCCAGGCAAGTTGCACTTGTTTCCAGGTAAAATATGGTCAAAAGAGCAAACCATTGTTAAAAAAGCTTTTTCTGCTTCTTACCAACCAAGCTTAAGAACACAAAGTACTGCAGCCACCACTTAGGCAAGAGTACAGAGCACTATGAGTATACAGGCATGTGTGTGGAAGCCTTGCTGTAATCCAGGGCACAAATTTCACTTAGCACAAATAAATGACAAGACACAAAGCAAGGAAAAGAGTATCCATAAGTAAAGGAGGAAAGAGAGTTCTGATGTTGTAATGAATAGGAGACGTCCAAGCCATCTGATAATTAACATGTTTATTATATATATATATAATATCAGAAAAAGGAGATTACTATTTAAAAGGACAAATAGGCTTCATGTTGCCAGAGTTTTTCAAAGGAAAATTTTAATGCAACACATACAAGACAATCAGGTGCAAATTTAAGTAAATGCAGCTCGAAGTATGGTGGATGGCATATTCTGCCAAAAATTGCCAGTAGCTTCAGGTGGCAATATGGAAATTGGCTGCAACAAGCCCTAAGTGGTAAAAAAAAAAAAAAAGATTGAATCTTTCTATCTTAGTAAGGAAGTGAGTCTTTTGTGCCCTGCTCTCTGTGCTACCAAACAGCCACTGAGCATAAAGGGTCTTTCAGAGCTCCCCAGATGTTAGAGGGGAGCATCTACAAGTGCTGGGAGAAGGACAGGTCAACTGCCTTAGTAAATCCACCCTGAATGCAAAATAAGGAAGAACACACCTGCTAATCAAGCCAAAGAGTTGTAGCACAGTTCTGCGTGCACGCTGCAGCCTCCAGTTATCATGGTAGTTATTTTTATAACAAGGAAGCAAACTTTATGCAAAATGCCCTGTTTCAGCTGAACAAATCAGAGAAGTACAAAATGACAGTCTGTGGCTGTGTCCACTCTATTGTCCTGGCAAATGGCACACCCAGGGAAACCTGGCAACGAAGATGTGACAGAGGACATCACTCCTCTGGGCTGTATGCCCGCAAACAGGAGATGCATTCTGTGACCTGTTGACACTCAGGCTGCAAAGAAAACTTAAGGAACACATTTGAGAATGCCCAGGACAGGCCCAGCAATGGGAACACAGCTGTGGGAACCCCTGCCAACAATGCCAAGACAAAGTTTGGCAGAGTAGGGCTGCCCTTAGCCACAGCTACATCCAGAGGTTTCCCAGCTCAGTCAGTTCCCACGTCTTCATCATTTTCATACTCAACCACCTGCCTTATGCTTAAGATTTCTCTGCATCTCTTAAGTGAAGGTGCATGCACATCCCAGGAGGAGCATGATGACAGGGCCTCATTCTTCCTGCAGGGAACCCCCAGAGAGCTTCATCCAGAGAATGTGACCCCCCTTTTGAGAGTGTCATCGCACCTCTTCTCTCCTAGTTCTCTTTGCTACCCGTGCCACAGCTTGGCAATAGCCACCAAGTAGCCACCATCCCTCCCAGGTGACCCCCAGGCTCCATCACCACAGGAAGGGATGCGGGACAAATCCAAGTCCAACAAGTTGTCCATGAAGAGCCACAAATTGCGTAACACGGGAGGGAAGACAAAAAACTCATCCGCCACTTAACCCGTTGCATGCCACAGCCCCCCTGCCCCTCTTCCAATCTGGAAGAGCTTTCGCCCCCTCCCCAAAATGAGACACTCACCAATGGTCGTGATGACTGTGATGGCAAAGTAAAAGGAACCGGCGAATTTCCACTGGACACCAGCCCGGTGTGGCTCGGACTGCATGATCACCAACTCCAGCTGCCGGTAGTCCTCACTGGTGATGTTGTACTTTCCTTTGAGCCGGATCTCCTCGGCTTTGAGTTTCTCCTCCTCCCGCATCTCGTTGTCGGACTCCAGGGCATCAAAGACGGCAGCCCCGACCAGCAGGTAAGTGAACGTGCAGATGATGAGGGACAGGGTCCGCACGTTCTGCCTCTTCATGGCCGCCAGCAAGGGGCGAGTGAGGGGACCATGTCCCCCCCTGGCCGCCCGGGGATCCGACAGGCCGCAGCAGCCGCAGCAGGGGGGCAGCTGCCGGGGGGGCTGGCGGCTGCTCCGGGGCAGCTTGTGCTGCGGCGGCGGCCGCTCCCCGCCCGCCTGCTCGGGCTCCTGGGAAGAGGAGAGGCACAGGAGGCTGCTGGAGCGCCGGGACCAGGTGCCTTGAAGCCGGGAAACTCTGCGCAAGACCTGCCCAAACCAAGCTGTCCCAGTGCGCAGGGCCATCCAGGGCACCCCCGCTCCTCCCCAGCACCGAGGCCAGGGGCAGGGGGTCCCCGCCGAGCTCTCGCCGAGGGAAGGGAGCGCTGGGCGGCGGTCCCGGCCCGGAGTCCTGTGGCAGGCGGGTGGGTCCCCCCGCGAACTTGGAGCGGGGAAAGGGTCCCCCACAGCCCGGGCGGGGCCGTCCCCGTCCCAAGTTTTCTTCAGGCGGCGGTGCGGCGCGGCCGGGGGGAAACGAGCAGCGGCAGCGCGTCCATCCGCGTGGAACCGCGCAGGGGACGAGGAGAAGCGGCCGCCGTCGGGGACAGCCCGCGGGGCCCGGCCCGCCCCGGCCCGAGGGAGCGCCGGACGGGCAGGTCGGGACGGGCTGAGCTCTTTATTCCTTCCGCCGCGGTGCGAGGCGGAGAGCGGGAAGCCGGCTTGCTGCAGGTGGCCGCGGAGAGAGCAGCGGAGCGACGTCCGGTGCGGAGAAGGCGGCGGCGGCGGTGTCAGGCGGCGGGCGGGGAGTTGAGGGCAGCATCCCCGGGCGAACCGGGCCGAGCCGCCGCTCCGGCGGGAGGAGGGGGCGGCGGGCCGGCGGCGTGGCCCTGGCGGCGGGCAGCCAGCGCCCCGCAGGAGCCGGGAGGAGCGGCGCGGAGCCGCCCCGGCCGCCGGGCGGGAGAAGGGAGGCGGGAGCGCGGCGAGGAGGCGGCCGGCAGCCGCGGAGCACCTGCCCCGGGCGGGAAGCGGCGGGGCGGGCGGAGCGGAAAAAGCCGGAGCCTTCCCCCGGGGAGAGAGAGCGGCGTGGGGAGGGGGGCTGAAAGCTCACAAAGCCGGAGGAGAAAAAAAAAAAAAAAGGGGGGGGGGGGGGGAAGGGAGAGAGGGAGGGAAGGAGGAAAAAAAAAAAAAAAAAGGGCTACTTTCACGGCTGCTCTAGGGGCTGGGGCTGCTTTATTTCGGATGGTTTTAGAACAAAGCCGTTAAGAAAAAGAGCAACCGTCCTCCTCCTTTTCCTCCTCCTTCTCCCAGGCTTTTGACATCATCTCTGGGAAAATGAAGCCCGCGCCCCTCAGCCATCGCCTGCGCGTGTGTGAGTGTGTGCGGGTGTGCGCGCTCCGCCGCCGGCACGGGAGGCGGGAACTCGGCTTGGCCCGCCGCGGGGAGCGGCTTAACCCCCTCGGCGCCGTCCTGTCAGGGAGCGGCCGCGGGGCTCCGCCGCCGCGGTTCCTTCCCACCTCCCCCGGGCTTGGCCACGCCTCGGCCGCCGAGCGGGGCCGGGCGGCGGCTGTGGTGGCGGCGGCGGCGGGGCGGGCCGGGCGTGCGGAGCTCCTGCGGGTCCGGATCGCGGCGGCAGCGGAGCAGCGCGCACCGCCCGTTGCCGCCCACGAGGAGGGCTGAGGGTTACGGGCGGGACAGGTGGGGCCGCCCCTCGGCACGGCCGTCGGCCGCGCACCGCAGCCCCGAACGCACGATTGTAAGACTCGGCTCCAGTTGACGCGGCTTCAAACGTTGCGATCTGCACGCGAAGCCCCACGGTCTCAAACGCTGCAGTTTCTTCAACACCGCACCCTCAGAGCTGTACAGGCAAATACCCCAAGAACACAGCTCTACACACACAGCTTCGAGCACCTCAGCCCAGTATAACAGCTCCCAATATCACAGCTCTGCACACACAGCCCCAGTCACCACAGTGTCAAACACTACAGCCCCAAAAAGCATCCCAGCCCCAAACACTACAACCCCAAACACTAGAGCTATATTTGCAAACCCCCTAACAATACAACTCTACACACACAGTTCAACACCACAGCCCTAGCCACTACAGCCTCAAACATCACAGCTCTGCAGGTCTACACACAGCTGCAAACACCACAACCCCAAACACCACAGCCCCCAGCACCACGGTTCTACACACACTGCCCCAAACATCACGGGTCAAGATAGGCAGCCCCAAGCACCATAACTCGACACAAACAGCCCCAAACACCACTGCTATATACACTAAGCTCCAAACTCCGCATCCAAACACATACAGCCCCAAACACCACAGGTCTACAGTCACACAGCCCCAAGCACCAAATCTCTAAAGAGCCCTACCACCACAGCCCAAAATGCCACAGCTCTGCATGCACTGCCCCAAACAATGGAACCCACAAACACCGCAGCTCTACACACTCAACCCCAATCACCAGAGTCCCAAACAAACACCACAGCCATACAACTGTACAGCCTCCAGCCAGGGCTCCTCCTGCTCATCTCTTCTGGGTCTCCCACTTCACCATGAACACTTGGTGCCACCACAGGAAGCCTAGGTCCATGTTTATGCTTCAAGGCAAGGCTGTCCTCCCTTGTATCACCTTAAAATGGTAACTGTAGGCCTCTCCTGTATCAGAGCTGTGCTCTGCAGCCTTACGCAATGAAGGCTGACTTGTTCCTGGCTTCTCTTGAGCCTCATTTTAGATTTTCCTCAAATCTGAGCACACCAGGGCTTGTAACTGTTGTCTTCCATCCTTAAAGCACGTCTCACTTCTGATTACGTGTTGCTTAAGGTCTTTGGACACACTTCCTTTAGCATGCAGTGGGAACGTGATCTCTTCAAAATGGATCAAATCTACTCTGTTTGAGACACTGAAGCCCTCTGAAAGGAGCACCTCGGGCTGAGCAGCCAAAACAGGTCACAGAGCCCTCCATGAACCTCTTGGACACAGCGAGGAGTAGGGATTTGTTTCATTAATTCAGCAAACAGAATTTCACCCAGGGCAAAGTCTGGATCATGTCACCTGAGCATTACTGAAATCATTATGAATGCCATGCGGAACAGGAAGGTTTCGCCTACTGATAGAAAGCTTGTGCATAGCAGCAACAGAAAGAAAGAAGGAAAAGAAGGAGAAAGAGGAAATATGTGGTTTTGATCAACTCCTTCTTAAAAATAGAAGTCTGATTATCGTTGCCCGTTTCTGATTCCCCAGAGGAGAGCAGGAAAAGGAGAAGGATCTATAAATAGTGTGCAACACAGAGAATCCTATAGCAAAGTCACGGGGAAAGATCAATAGCATGATTCAAGGAGGGCTCCAAATTACATCTCAGGGGAGGGAAGTGCTGAATGGAATTGATAAATGAGTTGCAAATGCTGTGTGTGTTGTGTGTATCTAATTAACAGAGGGTGACTAGGATCAATAGCAACCAAGGAGCTGGTCTAAAAATAGTGCTTAAGCAAGGACTGCAACCTGCGGGCAACAGCTTGGATGGAAACGTCCCCTGAAGTAATTAACCTTTAGCTGGAAAATGATGGCAAGCGTGAGGTCAAAGGAGAGCCTGAGGGCAGCTGAGGGCTGAGGTCTCCGAGGGGCTTTGGGTCACAGAATAGCGGGACAGTCATGGAGAGTACAAGCACAGCCGTGGGTCTGCAACCCTCCTCCAATTGGGGTCGGACTGCAAATTTGTGTAGTGCTTAGTGGAGAAATATCCAAGTATTAGCATTTTGTTGGCACTGCAAAGTAGGAAATATCTGTAGTTTGCACATGTTTCAGTGTTGCTTAGAGAGGAGTTACATCCATTTACATCTACAGAAATTTATGATTTTCTTCTTGTTTTCTGACCTTCTTGCAGAGAAAATATGCACCTACCTGAGGACTAGCACTCAGTCTTTCCTCATTCAGACTCATCAGCATAACTCTGAACCACAGTGCAAGCAGCATTGGAAATGTTCCTCAAGCACTCTATCTACAGCAGAGCAGTCAGGGAAACTTCAGGGAAAAGGAGTGATGTTGGACAGGATGATCAGTGGCTCAGCCCACAGGCTCTTGTGGTTCCAACTGAAAGTCTAGTGTCAGTCTGAGTGCAGGACTGGGACCCAGGGTTGTACAGTGTGACTGAAAGAGAAAGAAACCATAGAGATGAAGAATGTAGAAATTGTCTATTTTCAAAGCTGGTGCGGAAAATGTTGGAGAGATTAGAGATTTCTCTCCTTAATGTAAATGGAAATGGCTAAAAAGATCCTAGCCATTTTTTTTCTCAGTAAGGAAAAATGATCTTTGTGAAGAACCGGAGACCTGGGAAGTAGTAGTCTGAAGTAGTAAGCCTGGTTATTCACCAAAAGGAAGGCTAACTCCAAGTGTTGACATTCATCTTCTCTCACATTAGTGAAGAGGAAGAGTGAGCAGGTTGGAAGATAGCCTTGAGTTGCACAGTGCTTGTGCTGGCTGCTGAGAGCTGTAGAATCATAGACTCATTAAAGTTTGAAAAGGCCACTAAGATCATCTAGTCCATCTGTCAATCCATCCCCAGCATGCCCACTAAACCATGTCCCTCAGTGCCACATCTACCCTTTTCTTGAACATCTCCAGGAGCAGTGACTCTACCTCCTCCCTGAGCAGTCTGTTCCAGTGCCTTATCAAAAGGTAAGTAGGTTCATCTACTCCTTCGAGAAGAACCTAATGAGAGTTAGAAGTCTCCCCTATTCCAGATAGTAGTGTTACAGCCACTCCTGTTTTACCTTGAGTTTTCTCTGCAGCAAAGGCAGAGTAGGGAGAAATGCAAGAGAACAAGTATATGGGATTCTTTTCACCTCCTCAAATACTCCCAACCTCAGACTATTCTGATTCAGAAGATTTTTCAGTTATTTGGTCTATTTAGTGATCCATAATGGATCTTACTTCCAAGCACTTGTCCCTTCTTTACCTGAATCCAACTAAAATTTCTTCATCCTCAGCATCCCCTGTGAAGGAGTTTGACAGATCTGCTTTTCTGAGCAGAATTAGCATTTGCATTTATCTGTTCAAACTGGTCTTCCTTCAGTGGTCCCCAGACCTTGTTCTGCAAGTGAACTGTACGTTTTCTCCATGCCAATTATGAGATTTTGCAATTCAAGCAAGGTAATCCCAATTTCAGCCACTATGTTCATGCAAGGCTGTAATCATAAAAGCAAAGAATCATTAAGGTTGGAAAAAACACTAAGATCTAGTCCAAACATCAACCCATCACCACCATGCCCACAAAGCCACATCCCTACATTTACAGATTTCTTGAAAACTTCCATGGATGGTAATTCCACCACTTCCCTGGTCAGCCTGCTCCTCTAACTCACCACTTTTTCTTAGAATAAATTTTTCCTAATATCCGAACTGAATCTCCCCTGGTGCAACTTTAAGCCATTGCTTCTGTTCCTATCACTAGTTACCTGGGAGAAAAGGGTGATCTCTGCTTCACTACAACCTCCCTCTGTGGCTTCTCCATCTGTCTGTGATGGGAGTAAGAGACTCTGTGCCTAATTATCTACGAAAAGGCAAGCCAGACAGAAGTCTAATCCTGTTTCACCCTATAAAGTGTCTCTGGCCCTTTTGGGGATTCCTCTGAATTTCTGCAATGTAAGTACTATAGGAG